TTATTATTGGCTACAGGGGGTTGACTATCAGTAACTATGTACATCAGAATTATCCCTATACCATAGTATCAACTATACCAAGCCGTATCCACAGGACTGGCAAATCGTTTCTGGAAGCAACCGAAATTAGATCGTCTGGCTTCGCGGCAGGACGTAAGTCAGACACGTGTGAAAGGAACACGCATCTTTCCGCCCACAGTAAATAGTCGGACGACGACGACAACCTGTCGGTATGGAAGAGTCTGTACCGCGGAAGTCAAAGTCGGGTACTAGGGAGACGTAGGACAAGTGGGATATGACTGAAAATATTTAACGGCAACGGCTGGACATCGATATGCCCACGGATAAGATTAGGTACAGTAGCCTAGGAAGATGCTGATCAAGATGGATTTAGTTTGGACGGATCGCGAACCTCCCGAAGACCTGCTGGAGTGGATGAGTAGCAAAAGGTGAGGACCAACAGGTGGGCACTCGAGACGGTGATCGTAACCTTAGTTGAGGTCGCTGCTTAATTGGTTGACTAGTGAACGATTAGATAGAAAAAAATATTATGATGAACAAACAAAAAATCTCATATATGGTCCATATATCCGGAAGATGCTGTGGCGAAATGAATCAATATTCGAAATTGAATTTTGAGTTAACTGTCAACGGGGTCGAGTGTACGATTTTTGTGTATCTCTTTGGTGTATACGTTACTTGCGTAATACGTTATGCGTCATTTAACGCAGCCAACGTGCTCAGTGTGCATCGATACGTTAATGGAGTCAAAGAAAGTTTGTACGGTACAGGTGAATTTTTTTCTCACCTTTCGATCGGTTTTTTGTTTTTTTCACGATTTTACATGGAAAGTACGAAAATTAACGTGGTATACCGTCGTTGCGTGCGAGGTGACGGGGAGTTGCGTAAAGACGGGAGTGAATTTTTTTTTTTTTTTTTTTTTACGTTTTTATCACGTCGCTGTGAAATTGTCTTAGCGACGTTATTGACACTGAGAATCTAACGAGGGGAACCTATTTTCCCGTGATACGGCCCTGCGATTATGCAATACCGCGAGGTTGGTGCTTCTCGTGTAATTTAACCAAAAAACAAAATTTATTCAAGGAATACATATATACGCTTGTGTGCATACTTGTAGAAGACGTAATCGCTGTATAGATAACATACAATGTGAAAGATATCGAATAATTAGTTCCATGTAGAGCATTGGTCGAACGTGCCAAATTGATTAAATAGTGTGAATCTGCTTTTTGGAGGAAAAAAAAAAAGAAAAAAAAATGTCAGTGCCATAACATGTGGGTTCGTCCTATCGACGATGATGATGCTTTAAGGAGGATTAAATTTTTATCACGAAATTCGTGCTTGCAATTTACGTAATTCCGTATGACACGTGCGACTCGATCGTTGTAAATCGAGAAGCAAGGACGTATGGGCGAGAAAGATCGAGAGGGAGTGTTTCGAGGTATCGACAATTTCGCATAATTTCATTCCATTTTATGCATAGCATCGAATTACGATATTAACTCATATTAATTGCCAGCATTAAGAATTACTCGTTGTATGGGACACCAAGAAACAATTTTGCATTTCGATATTTCTCTGCTGGTTTTTTTTCTTCTCTCTCTCTCTCTCTCTCTCTCTCTCTCTCCTTTTCTCCTGAATTCATAAGAAGCGACAACTCGTATAACGACTTCGCCGGTGAGGGTCGCATCAATTTTTGTACAATTGTCCACGAATTTGAAATTCAATCGCACGCGGTAAGGTGCTCGTGTATTTTTGCTGTTGTCACCCTTCCAAGGGAATACAAATTTCCATTTGATCTATATCTATATACGCGGGTACAAAATACAGGGGAGACACTCGCGAGCGGGTGAAAAATTCGTGAAATTTTGAAAATCCTCCGAATAAAAGGACCCGAATCCTTTAATGCGAGACACAAAATTTTAGCGAATTGCCATATTTATTTTCTCCTGACGAGGAGACTGGTGTCAGTTGTGTTTGGCAAATAATATGTTATCTCGAACTTTGATAAACGTAACTCGCTGCAGTCGCGACGAGATGATTACAATGTTAAATTCAAATGAAAATCAATTCATCAGCCACTGTGCCGTCGGGGAATGGATATAATGAAATATAATAATACGTATAACCATATATATATATATATATATATATATATATAATAAATCCAATAAATTATATTAGTTCAGTGACACGTGCAAAACTTTACCATATGCATACGTAATGTCTATGGGATTCGTTTGTTCGAATCACATTTATACCGCAGCGAATAACAGTTTCACGCGTCTGTTATTCCCACAGGAAATAAATAAATAATTGGACCATGCCAATAGGTACACATGTGTAACACGCGATGACAAAAGAAAGGCAATTAATACAACGCATTTATATTCTACCGTCCGTGATATTAATATTCCCATCGGTAATAAGACGCCGGTACAGTCAGTCAAGATGTAGAGTGCCGATGAAGTCCTTTCGAAGATTAAACAAAATTTAATTCAAAACTTAAAAGAATGAAGTATGACTCGTGTACTTGAAGGGGTTGAAATTAAAAGAAAAATTAGCAATCGTAAAATTGCGGTCCGGGTGTCCGTTGCGAACTGACGCAGAAGACAAGTAAAACTTATGAAGCAATGTAAATGCATTGGGTCAGATGTCCCAGTAAACAACTGACTACGTGGTTCGAAATAATCGGATGAAAAACTAGCCGCACCGAGTTTACTACTTTGCGATCGGTAATGATATAACGTGACGGCTAGAGAGAAATTAGAAAAAAATTGTCTTCGCTAAGTTAACGCGGGGACCCAGTCATTCGAGATCGCGGAGTAAACACGCCTACGTTATTACCTGAATTTGACATCGGTAAATTCGACGGAGTGCCGCGGTTGGCCGCCATGCTTCTTTTTATTAGAAGACGAACACGTAAGGTCATTCCGGGTAAACGGTTGATCCTTCCGGTAAAAACGATCGGCGTGATCAGTGATTTAGATTTTGAGGAAAAAAAAAAAAAAACGGCGTGGAGATCCAAATATTTATTTTTTCTCCCAGTGACAAATTCACGGCAGAATTGCCGTTTTGTTGTTGAAGATTAAACGGGGTAAAGTTGACAGTTTGAAATCGTGTCGTTCACGGTCTTCATGATTATGTAGAAATTTCAATGGTTGTTCCAGAAACACCGGTAGCCCCTTTCGGATTAATGAAATCGGGGCCGGATTCGATTCAGACTAGGGAAATACATTGTTACGCAACACTCGATTCTTGGTATTTTCCTTCAATGAAGAATACGAGACGTTCGGAAGAGCAAAAAAATACTTTTACGTTACTTCACAAATTTTAACAAGCATAACCAATGCGTCCAGTATCGCTTATTAGGAACGACGTGTATATATATCCGAGTCGTGTGGATTTCCAACGAAAAAAAGTGGAGGAGAAAAATTCCAAGTCACAGACACATCCCGAGAGTCTAATCGGACGCAGCTATAATCTTATCGCGAAAAAAAAAAGTTTGCCAAGTAATTTCTAAGAATACATAAAATCACTGGAATGCATCTTCGCATGTATTTATCCTGTGGCAATGAGACTAGATATTAAAATCGTATGCACGTTCGATAGAAATAAAACGGCAGATCTAGAAAAGATTAACGTATAACCTCACTAATATTGTTTATGTAAAAATACATAACAGTGTAGCAAACGCGTCCAAAAGAAACCCAGCAAGAATTTGAAATCGACCCGTGTCGACGACCGCGTGTCTTGTGTGTATATATATATATACGGCGGCGAAAGGACATGTACCTGAAAAGTACTTTGATTAAGATAAAGGAGTCTGACTAAAGTTTCAAATTAGAATACACAATTATCCATGTGTCATTCGACCGTAATAAATTTAAAGTACAGCATGGTAAAATCGTACGATTCCGTTTTTACTTTCTCGTAGGAGGTTAGTTTTAGACTTTCGTGGAAATACATGCAGGTTCTGTACAACGTGAATAATGTTCCCCAAGGCCACCGGTACCACGGAAACAAGGTATAGGATGACCGATGTTTCTCTGCAGCTTGGTAAACAGGCTGACCGCTTGTCGAGGAATCGTAGGCTACGAGTTGAAAAGAAAAAGAAAGGAGGACGACGAAGGTTTTTAAAGAGAGGAAAAAAGGAAAGAGAAGAGCAAGAAGAAGAAACGTGGCGGCAGGACAAACCATGTCAGGAACACAACGACGGGTCGACGTTGTACTTGCGCGAGAAAAATAAAGCGATATAAGAGAGAGAGAGAGAGAGAGAGTAGACGATTTTAAAAGATTATAAACGATTGTAGAGTCATCGGATCATTTGGTATGGGAAAGCATAAGAGGATCTGTCAGGTGCACGTTTCGCGTGTTACCGGCATTGCTTAACTGGTAACTGTTTTGAACCTCGGGTATGCTTGGTTACACTAGTGACTGTTGAGGATTGTGAGATTCTTGAAGGTATGAATGGAGGAACGCTCTGGAAATGGGAACGGAGAAACTGGATAACTTGATGACTTGAATTGGAGCAAGGGGAGGGCAAGTGTTTGGTAGGAAATAGGGTAGGAGGGTTTAGGTAGCAAGACCGAGTGAGGTGCATGGTGAGTGGGCGACGGAAGGGCAATGGTAGAGGAAGAGTAAAAGGGAGAAGAGAATGTGAGAGAGAAATGAAAAGAGGGCTCGTGAGTAGGTGTAGGAGTACGAGAGAAGGTGGAGGTGGAGGTGGAGGCGGAGGCGGCGGAGGAGGAGTTGGGGTGGCGTGAGTTTAAAGGTGCAGGGAGTGAGGATAGGGGGCAGATAGAAAGAGAGACAGATAAACTGAGAGAGAGAGAGAGAGAGAGAGAGAGAGAGAGAGAGAGAAGGGGGGGAGGAGATGATAAATTAGAGAGAAAGCACAGACGAGTAAAGAAGAAAGTGAGGAGAGTGAAATTGAGAAAAAAAAAAACATAATGGAGGAATATAATGAATGTACTTACCCAAAAGTAGGAGCTTGAGTTCCCGCCTAGCATCCCGCTTGTCCCTCCGAAGCTGCCGCTCGATCTCCTGGTTGATTCGCTTTTGTTCCTTAGCCTCTTCCGATAGGCAGCACGCCATGATTCAAGGCAGAATCCTCGGAGGGAGGAGGGACGTGGAGGATGAGGATGAGGATGAGGATGAGGGAGGATAACGAGTCGCCGTAGGGGATTGCCCGCTGCCAAACGCTTACTGCTAGCAGGCCCAGCACGGCGTGTCAGCGAATATTATCTTGCCACGATGAAGGTCCTCGTGCTTATTCTCGTTCCGTTGGAGTCCTGTCGACCGGCTCAGCGACAGCACACGCGGTTCGGCACTCCTGACAGAGGCCGATGCCAGCGACACATCAATCCACGAGCACGCACTACACACACCGCTCTTTCTTCTTCTTCGTCCTCGTGCCCGTTCCGTTCCGTTCCCGTTCTCGTAGCTCGCTCGGTCTCGGGTCGACGGAACGAAGTCCGTCGACGAAGGGACGAGGAGCCGAGCACCCGGTGCTGGTCCCTGGGCGGCCCTCGGGCTCGCGTACGTTCTCGCTAGGCTCGCTCGGCTCCCGGCGCCGTTGGGTGTGGTGAGCCACCGCAGCACTGCTTTCGTCGCACACTCTCTCTCTTGGCTGCTGGTGCTGCTGCTGCCGCCGCCGCCGCCGTCACAGTCCTCGTAGCCGCGGCTCTCGCGCACCCTAGTACCACGAGATACGAATACGAAAAACGTTTCTCGTTCCTCGTTCCTTTGCTGTTGCAGCGACCCACCGCCTCCTGGCCTCCTGTACTCGCGCCGCGCCCGAATGCTCCGCGCCTTTTATCAACCCGAGCCCCGAATCCTGTTAAACAAACCAGATTGGCGAAGCCCGACAGGAGCGACGGCGCGCACGTGTCCGCTAACGAGATTAAAATCGCGAAGGAGCGGCCGCCACCCGCCGGGAGGAGGCACGGAGAACGTAACGGCCGGCACCAGCGGCGTTTAGCTTTAGGTTAAACTGTCCAACCGTTCTGACGGTCCGTCGGCTGTCGGAGTCGAAGAGACCGCGCGCACTTCTTACTCTCTTTCTTTCTTTCTCTTCGACTGCCGTCTTCTCTCTACTCTTCTTGCTCGCTCACTCTCTTTATCGCTCTCTCTGTCTCTTCTCTTTCTTTCTCGCACTACCTTACTTTCTCACTCTCTCTCTCTCTCTCTCTCTCTCTCACTCTCACTCACTCACACTCTTTCCCTCTCTCTCTCTCTCTCTTTCTCTTTCGCTCTTCCGTTCTATCCCAAGTTCTCTCTCACGACGCGAACGCGCTTGAAGCTACTGCCTACTAAACTGCTCTGACCTGTTCGGTCTATCCCATCCATCGGGCGATTATGCCATGTAAGCGTCCTTTCTTTCCTTCCTTCACCGTTCACGCGAAACGCGACTCACTCGCGAGCGAAAATCCACCTTGATCGCGCTCCACGGTGCTGCTCCACGGTAACCGCCTATCGCAAGATGGCGTCCGTCGCTACTCGGCGGCCGGCTCTAATCTCGCTCGCATCGGCATTGCACCCTCCGATCCCTCTTTGGCCCTCCACCCGCAAGATACACTCTTTCCTCCCAACACCTCCGCACTCACCGACCTCACGATCTATCTCTATCGCACCAAAGAACTGTCTTCCACTGTTCGCTCGTCTTCTCTCTCACTCTTAGGTGTTACTTTGCGACTTGGCATGACGCTGCGCAGCGCCACTTCCCGTCACGCGTTCAACTTGCTCGCACGCAACGGCCAATGCCCGCGAAATTTTACCCTTGAATTCTTCAACCGGCTTATCAATGATGTTACGTTACGTTCTGTTCAGCTCTTCATGAAAAGCTAAAGTTCTAGCAGTGCTTCGATTGGGGGCTATGTCTTTTGTGTAATATGCAATACAATGTGGCTTTGCAGACCGTTTAACTCATGGGCTTTATGCATTCGCACCTTATGCCCGGTTTCGAAGTACTGTTAGATTGGTATTACTGAATGCGTCATGGAAACTCGTATTAAGGCAACACTGTGTTGGAAACTCGCCGGAATTGCGCATGCGCATTAAGTGAGTGATATGACTTGTGTACTAGCGTAGAATTTTCAAATTTTAGAATAATTCTTAGTTGTCTTTATCATCCGTCATTTTTGACAGATCATTTTCAATGTTGATGATCCATATTATGATGATATACTAGGTAATATCACTTCCAGTGTCACCTTTTTATTTCCAATTATTTAAGTATTGCGCAATATTACGCTGTAGTTGCTGTTGGCATGATATTCTGCAATTGCGTTAATTTTCGTATGTCGTATTGTCAGGACGTTTATAGATTTAAAGTGGAAGATTTAAAAAAATCTATCAGTGTAGTGGAGCAACGTATATCTTTAAAGTTTTGTGCCATATTAAATTACTCTGGAGGAGTTGCGCATGACATGTTGGTGAAATCTGTTAGCCGTAATGCATTAAATAAAAGAACTGTACAACGATGGCTCGAAATGTACAAACAGGGTAGAATCACAGCTCAAGATGAGCCACGAGCACCTCGACCAATATCATCAACTAGGTTAGAAGCGAAAGACAAAATCAAAGAAGCACTAAGTCAATCACGCAGAGTGAGTGTTAATAATCTTCCCACCCAACTGAATATTCCTCATTCGACTGTCCATAGAGTACTGACCGAGGATTTAGGTCTGGTCAATAAACTAGCAGTATGGGTACCACATAGTTTGAACACAGATCAGAAGGGATTTCGATATAAAACTGCACGTAGTCACTTGACGTGGTACCACCGTAAGGAAAATATACTTTATAGGTTCATATGCATAGAAGAATCTTGGGTCGAGTTTTATACTCCTCACCAACCACATCAGTCACGATCTTGGGTAGAATCAAACACTTCAGCTGAACCTTTACCACGCGCAGAGCTACATGATCGAAAGATACGACTGATAGTGGCTATGGATATAAGAGGGATTGCTTTTTGGAGAACTTATGATGAAAATATAACTATGACTGGAGAGCGTTATAAGTCATTTTTGGAAGAGAACATCGCTATCTGGGCACTGCAGCATGATGTATCGAATCCTATAATTTTACATGATAATACCAGACCATATAAATCAAAAATAGTTCAGCAGCTAATTGAAGATAAAGCATGGATAGAGATCATTCAGCCGCCATATTCCCCGGATATGAATCCATGCGATTTCAATTGTTTCGGCCACGTGAAGAGGAAATTGTCAGGTACTCGATGCAGCAGCTTAAAGGAGTTAGATATTAAACTGAACAACATTATTTGTGAATTAAATGGAAGTGGTACTTTGAATGGTGTTCAAGATTGCCAGCAGTCTGGGAGCGCATAATCAATAATGAGGGAGACTACTAATTATTATAACAAGGTTTGATTATACAGTGATTCGTTGTTGCAAAATCATAAAATATAAAAAAATATGACAACAGAAGTGGGATAACCCGGTAGCTTTATTCCTTCGAATTTATCGTATAACTTATACTTATCCATACGTCTTGTATTATAATTTTCATATGTCTGCCAATTATGCAATATTGTTTATGATTTCTCGGAAATGAAGTTTATTACCTTTTTCATACTGAAATATGTTTAATTGTATTCTATAAAAAAAAAAGTTAAATGTACCGCGTACACTGTCGTGTAAAACATGAAACAAAATACTATAATATAAAATGCAGGTTATGGCGTCTACTCTCTTCATTTCCTATAAATGAAATTTTAGCAAAACTTCTTGCATACTATTCATACGACCAATAAAGTCTTGCTGTATCCAGATTAGAATGAATTGTCAATCTTTCGATGACGCAGCAAAAATCCTATTGATAATCCTCATGTAACTACGCATTGACATTCGTGTAAAAGAAGCTTTGTCGGAAGCAGCCGGTATAAACGTGATTCCCAATATGTCCATATGGATAAACAGAGCCCTTGGCATCGTTTTTAAGAGGATTTAGATTTCGACGTATGGCTTCTACGTACCGTCCATAATTTCACATTGTGTCCCAGAGCAATGGGGAATTCTCCGTTTCGAACATTAAAGACCCTCAAGTTTCCCTCATTTCTTCTCGACACGGTTAACTTTGCATTTCTGACAGAATTCTTGAGTCTCTTCCAATCGGTCACACAGTAGATGATCCGCAGCTGTACGTTAAGTAGAATAATAATTTTTCAATATGACATTGGACAAATAAAAATTATTTCTTTCCTATCACCTGCTTCATCCTGACACAGATTATCCCCTATTATTTTAAATAAATTGCCTGTATGCTTGTCGTATTCCGTGTCGTTATAAAATTCAGCAACTTTTTGAAAATTATTTCTAAGCGCTGCCAACCGTCTGAAATAACCAAATCTCCATGTATCCCATGCAAGTGGATGTTTACGATTGAAAAGATCATACATTCTAACGATCCTTGGCAATTCTCCATCGAGAGTCCTTCTACTTTGCTGATACTCGTGCAAAATGGTCTCGTACTGTCGTTGCAACTTTTCCAACTGCGGTACACTCAGCTTGGTATTGTCTAATAAGTTTTTCAAATTTCTCGCAGCCACGGAGAAGTCCTCTTTTCTCATTCTATACTCGTCCATGACTGCTTGCAACTGCTTCGACACGGTTATGCTTCTCGTACAATTCTCTACAACCTCTTTCAAAAGAAGTAGTCTGGTCTCCTTCCGAATCTCAGCCTGAACAAGGAAATTACAAGAAAAAATAATCAAACTCATTCCCAATGACAAATACCCTTTCCAGTATTGATACTCTACCTGTTGCATCTGCATTGTCAAACCATTACCAGTGGAATTTGAGTAATTAGTTGAAACCGAATATGGAAGTATTAATTGATGACTTAAATCAACAACGCGATAAGCTGCCGTGTGTGACACTTGTAAAGATCGCACGTGCTGTATCAATGCTTCCAATGCTGTGGTGGCCAAGTCCAAATGTTGAATAAGTGCGGATTGTCTGTCAGCAGCCATTGCTTCTTCAACTTGTGTCCCAACCAATTGTAACTCCAAACTCTCCCTCATTCCTTGAAGACCGATTCGGACACCGTTGAGTTTCTGTTTGTGATAACAATATTCTTTATAACTGTCCTATACGTTTGTTCTCATAATAATAAATTGCAATAACGTTGCCTTGGTATCAGTGGTCGAATGAATTTTCGATGACCTTTTCCTCCGCCGATTCTGACACACGCAGCAGCCGATTTGTGAATCCAATTGGGACACGTGCGGCTGTGAGATTGTGAGTAAAGGTGACGTCGATCGTGACCTTTGAACCGATGAGGACTCTCCTTCGGATGTTGGTGGCAAATGGGTTGCATGATGCCTCCGTAGAATTGGTTCGCTCCATCGTGAGCAGCAGCATCTTCGATCGAGGAAACGGGACATGCCTTGTGAGATTGGACCTAAGGTCAAGTCTTGGGAGAATTATTATTGACCTTTTTTTTTTAACACAATTAATCCTTAACTCACTGTTGCCATTTGATGACGTTTAAATTATTTTCAAGAATATTTAGGATGCATTCATAGGTATCCAGACGGTTAACTGATGACTGTCATCCTGTCAGTCAGTAATACGTGACGCTTACAAACCACTAACTATTTATTGTTATCGAAAATCAAATTGAGACAGACGATTAAAATGATAGGCGCATAATAATTATCGTTACAATGTTATTTTATGTTAAGGTTATGAAGGTATGACTTATGGCTCGAGTCGAGTAAAATTAAACAACATGACATAAAAATGACAAATGACATAACAACGGATTGGCTCATTGCTACACTAAACCACTGATCTCAATACGGATAAGATCTGATATTTCAGAATCTGCCTTTCTTTATTCTCTTTTGCGTTTCAATACTATTGCATACATTTGTCGAACATCTTTGGATCTCTGCAAACGTTCTTCCTTCTCTTATGTTCATTCTTTTTATCCTGTGTCTATTTTAATATATTTCACAACTTCTATTTATGAAACATACTCCCTTAGGCTATTCCTGTATTCAGTGAGCTACAATCGGTCCCAAGTTTTGCCAACAGTTCCTACTCATTGCTCAGAGAATAAATTTTGCAGCACTCTCACGAATGAATTTACATGCACATTTCTTTCGTACTTTCCAGCCAATTTTGTTTTTCCCCCTTTCCCTCAGGTATCAGAATTCTCAGGAGACGCATTTTTTTCCTATACACCGTATACCATTTTCATAATGGTGACTACCAATGACTGCAAGGTACTCTATATCCACGCGCATTAAACGGAGGAATGTCTATGCAGCTTTTCTCGACAGCATCGTCAAAGTTTTAACGACCGAAAACACAATGTCGCGAGTGTCTAGAAAATATTTTCGTACACGCATTACAGGAGTCTGCTGTCAACAGTTAAGTAACAAAAGTCTGTTCGATAACGCTTTACATATTAGGCCTTAAAAACGCTTGCTGAACTGAACTACCGAAGAATAAACAATAGATATGCCGATGACATTATCGGGTAATTAGGTAACAACAAAAATGGCACCGTGTCAAGTGTCCGGAGCTAGTGTGACAATGGATCAATCCTTTAGATATAAACATTTTTAATTTATAAAAGAAAACAATCCAACCTCCCTATATTTCGCTCCTATCAGATCAACATAATAAAATTAAAAGACCACGCGGCTATGCCGATAGGCTGTTACGAGCTCTTATACTATTATTACACTACGTATATATATATATATATAATAATTGTGGTTTATTACATGGGGTACAATGCATGATTGTTCCGACAGATCGTGCTAATGAGTATTCGTCAACGCTACAGAAATTTCAAAGGATGGACCATTGTATTTCTTCCCTACTATCCTGGCCATACGGATAACTCTTCATGGCAGTGATAAGCAATTTCTTTTCGTATTAGATTACCACTGCCGCTATACTAAGGCTATATACCTACATACAGGCTTTCCCAATTCAGATAAACAATAGAATTTTCATTCGGCACGAATCTGTATATCGTTTGCCTAGACTGGGATAACCTATAATTATTAAAGAGGTACTTTCAAACGGCTTATATCGCAAGAATAAAGTGAATATTTCATTTAAGATGTATGGTCGTCAAATAGATCCCATTAGTCAAACGAAATGCCTTAATCTGCTCATTGAAAAAGTTACTATACAAAATTTTTGGCACATGATTTACGCGTGCCAATAGAACCACCGCGTATTAAAGGGATATGGTAATGGAAGAGATAAGCCGATTCTTCACCGGGTCGCGACACAATAAATTTACCACGAATCGACGTCTCTAATGGGAACTATTTAAATTGCGAGAAGGTAATTGGACCTTGAAAAATTTGGCGTTCACCAACGGCCGGTGAATTACTCAGAGTGCTCGAAAAAATGTACAATGAACGACGTTCTCGAGGAGAGACGAAAATTTCATTTCTTTCTTTTCGGTGGCCACAAAGTTACTTGATAAAATAGCCTTAAATTTTATAAATCCTATTTACAATTTCATAAAATAATATTAATTTAATATATAGTGTTGTTTTTATATTATAACATTGCGTGTATCGTGTGTCGTCGCCTATATGTTCTCGTGTACGCGTTCTCTTGATGTGTGTACAGTAATATATTATTTAATTATTTAAATATTTCATTTGATTATTAGTGATGTGTATTTGTGTTTTCGATATGAGTGGGACAATCCCGTGTTACAAGCAGTGAATGTTGGTTGGCACAGACAGTGGCTGGGTTAAGGCACTTTGGGCTGATTGATTCTCCGCAGCACCCTCCAGCATTACCATCTCATTATTCCCACCCTTCCCCCCTTATATATATCACCATAACCTCCCAAGAGCCCCAATTCTCACCCCTCGTCGCCGATTATAGCCTCTCATTCCCCTTTCTCAGACAAATTTCAAATAATACCCACGGCTCTGACTGCACGGCTCTCACTTTCTGCCATTACAAATTTTCTCTTTTCCCACATTTCCTTCCACCTTCTTCTTCACCTTCCTTCAAACTATCTTAAAGTAAAATACGCTGTTTCCGTGAGCATTGGAGTGTACGTGGCGATTCGAGGTAAGCTCTCACAGAAGCTTTGTGAAATTCGCCGGGAACATACCCTTCTCGTTGGTGCCTTCCTTGATGCCCATTAACCAGCCTTCCTCCTGTAATGATATATAACAATAGATTATTAATAACAGCCACTTTTCATAACCTTACTGAGATTTCATGTCACTTGTATATATGCATATAATTTTTTAAATACAAAAGTGTATATTTGATGTCTTTGACGATACCGTTCTAACGTTGGTACACATACCTGCTCTTCAGGATCGTCGTATTCAATAACGCGAATAATTTCACCCACATCGAACGAGAGCTCGTCCACGTCCTCACGGCTGTACTTGTAAGTCGCCTTCACCCTGTACAAAACACCCGGCGGCAAGTTGTCGGTTGTCGCCCCTATAGATAAATTGGTACCATTTTCATATTCCACGTCTAAAACGATTAAATATCTGCCATTAGTGCTGGACCTGTGTACCTGACTATTTTCTTTCTCTTTTCCGTATCGCAATGATACCAAGACCATGCACAAAGTGGCAGGCAACTTATAACTACTTTGAAAACCCACTGATGTACTTTGACTACAGACGTTAAACAAAAAATGTCTGAACTGAATACTGCAGCCCTTTTCCTTTTTTTGGTCAAGCTGATATACACCGATGGGTTATTTCATTGCTATGCGATATTAAATATAAAGAAAAAATCATGCTATTACCCCTCCACTTAAGTACAGTTTTCTCCAAAATATCAAAGACTTTCGTGGCACACCATCATAATATTCCTCGAGATGATCTAAATTTATTAGTGAGATATTCTTACATGTACCGAATGGCAAATTAATTGAAAACCCTTCTACGTAGCTCTCTGCGAAGTATTAAATTAAAGTTTATACTCATCAAAGAGTCTATTGCACTTTGATTAAATTTCATAATGTGCTTACATATCACTTTCATACGCGTGAAGTCTCTAAGGACACAGAAATCAAGTGTCATGTATCTTACTTGCGTGTTTAATGAAATAAATATTAGTCACAGAGGTTCAATTATTATCAAGTACAGCTATTAGTCACTGGCACAAAGTCACTAGGCTGATTCTCTATCGAATATTGTCTAGCCGCTTATCTTAAAATGTAAGACAGTAAATAATACGTTGATAACAAAGGTGCAATGTCCGAAGAAATTATAAAAGCGAAGTCCCTGTCGATGGTTTAAAAAAATTATGCACCAAGTAAAAAAAGAACGGCATTGTTTTGTGATTACAAAAAAAAAAAAAAAAAAAAAGAGGTCATTATCTAACTGAAGGTTCTCAGCACTAATCTGGGACATTACTCACCAACAGGTATATCATACAATTCCTCAACTCTCTTAGCAGGTGCAATTGTATTTTTGGAAGACGCATCTTGGTTATTTAAGGAATTATCATTGCCATTAGCATTGCCGTTTAACTGTGTCGTCGGCGAGGAGTCGCCAGCAGCTGCAGCTGCAGCGGTGGCTGTTGCCGTGGAATCATCCAAAGCTGTAACACGCAACAAACCACACTCAAACCAAGCATGGATCTAAACTACAGTAATGGTACAACAGCAACAACAATAGGATTGACACAAATAGATAATGCTACCAATGGAAAGCAATTCAAAGCATGCGGGTTGTTAGTAAACCATACTAATTATCACAAGTACCCCACTAGGCTACTTTACTATACAACGACCTGTACCTGCTGTTATATTATTCTGTGCGGGCTGCGTGTTGATTATCAATCTAAAACAGAGAAAATGATTGTGAGTAATTAAGAAAGATAATGTTAACGATCAAATAATGCTGTCGTATCAATATCATCGAATGAGCCTGATCTTACGAGGAATTGGCGTTGGGTGACTTGGGCGATTGCTGTTCTGAATTCTTCTTGAGCGTGTAAGATCCTCGCTGACTTTCATTGGCCAACTTGTCGACTATCGCTTCCAGCTCGGAGAAAACCTGAGATTTGTCAAATGTTCAATGCAGCCCGACAGACTAATTGTCAGTCACTAGCAAAGAGTACCGCTACAGTGAATACCCAATAGGGGACTCAGATCCAGAAACATACCTTGGCACTTTCAGCATGAAACACTTGTTCAGCGGCGAACAAGGTCTGTAAGTTGGTAACAAGGAAAAGTACACGGGAGTCGTGCAACGCAGGTAATTCGTCGTGAAGTTCCGAGTTGAGTTGTTCGTAAGTCCGTTTGGCTTCCTCCAGCTGATCCTTTCCTCTGGATACTTTGAGCTCATCACGTTTCTTAGGATTGCCTTGTAACGACTGGAAGCTGTGTCTCTGACTGTCGTAGTCCACGAGTTTGCGTCCTCTCTTGTCAATTTTTTTCTAAAAAAAGAACACTCGTATCATACCACAAGTAAAAGTAAAATCAATGATAAGATATCTCAATCTCAGCAAGACTCACTCTCATCTCAGGAAATTGGCTCTGATACGTGTTCAATGGTACCAGAACCTGATCAGCCAGCTTGTGCGTAAAGTCTTGCCAGAGCATATCAAGGTTTTGTGCTTGCACGTAGAGAAGATCATGACCCGTCCATTGGCTCTCGTAGATCTCATTCAAAGAGTCCATCAAGGTCTTCGAGGCTGCCTGTACAGCTGTAATCATAAAGGAAGCAATTGCTCAACAGTTGGCTAATCGTAGAAAGACCTTTGAATAAAACCTTGCAAATTGGAAGACTGAATGGACCATACGACAATATAATTGGATACTGCGTATCGTTCACACGTGAACTACGCCAAGATTCCTCACTCTTAATAGGTATGAACTCTAAGTAAAAACATATGACTGTCATTCGTCCGCTTCCTACTTCTAGTAATTCCGGCTGGAATTCTTCCTGCTCTAAGCCTTTGCCTTTTTACTAGCAGTCCTCCTGCAGTTCTCACTGACTTTCCTGACCTACTTCCTCGACTTGCTACCAAGGTGCATTCACCTGCACCACGCCACGATAAGGTAATCATTTGAGAACCGGTCGGTAAATTGCACAGCAACGAGCTTAGACCATTAATTCAGCATGTCGTCCATTAGTGGACAATGCCATAGAGTCGTTTAAGAAAATGACAGTGAATTTTTTATAAAAATTTATCCCTTCCCTGGGTCAAGCACCAGGGCTCGTGCACGATGACATTCCCAGTGAACGGCAGTGAAAAGCGTAATTCCTTGAGCCATTACGACAAAGCACGAAGGTCAATCGTCAAGCGAAGCAATGAATCAGCCCGTGCATCGGGCGGCTGTAACTTATGGACAAGTCATACATCTAAAAGCAGATATCCGAGCATGGTTAAACTTGGTGATGATTTTCCAAAGATGGCGAAAGATTTTTATTTTCTATCCTTAGCTAATTAGACGGCATTGGATTGGACGAGGAGACGTGACAAGCTGCAAGAAGCAAAGAAAATATTAAAACTGACACATGGTGCTTTGCTTTGCTGCAGCAACGTGTCGGGGTGTCAGGCTATAAGGGAAAAATGAAGACCCGGCAAAACTTTGCACTACGTTTCCTCTCTTGGGTAAGATGACACACGGTGCGAAGGAGACGGAACGAATGTAAGGTAAATAAATCTTTGTTAACTATTTAAAACCCACATGGAACGGGGGGGCTCTCGTTGCTTTGCAAATGCAGCCAAGAGTCATTGGCCCGATTTGCTATGGTTGCCAAGCGACTTGGGCTTCTGCTCGAATCGTCATAACTGTATACAGTGCTGCTGATGAATTTAGGAACGTTATTAGACGTCGTTACTTTATGGAATAGGGTCACTGTGCCAAGAGTTGCCGCACCCTTCTTCTCTGTACGGGGACAAGTAGACGCGTGGCTGGTGATAGAATTTTGACATGAATTTTCGAAAAAAAAAAAAAAAAAAAATTTCTTTTCTTTAATACTTACCCCTAACACACCTGATGTAATTGTTGAATTCCTTTTGCAGCCTGGTCGCCGCATTCTGCTGTCTCGTGAAATTTTGCAAATGCTCGTCGAATATGTCGTCGGCGGTTCTGTCGACTTTGCCCAAATTTTGGAGGAACTGAAAATTACCAGAAATTACGCTGATTAGCTGACGCGAATAAATTAAAGACATACCGACGCTTTCAATCGGATAGAGAATTCGAAAGGGAGCTCCGAAAGGGCACGTGGGCGTTTTTAAAGTGGCATTGGGGATGCGTGGGTTCGACTGGGAATCCTGTATCGCCATATATGTTGAGCACGCGTGGTCAACCGGTGGACGAGCCATTTGGAACCATCGAAATTGCTTTGACGCAAGCGAAGGAAGTACGAAGGATTTATGATACAGTGGATTCAAAATATTTTTGGGAAGAAATAAAATTTTTTTTTATATAATTTCCAATTTCACTTTTTTTTATTGATCACTCCGTATTCGTATTCTCGTCGCAACAATGATTTCTAACGAATCTAATTTTTTCATCTTGTCGTCGCTGAAAAAAAAAAAAAGAATTTAATCAGTGCGTGCTACGCTCCGTAATAATAAGGTGCGACGTTGCGAAACGTGACGCAACGGCGGCTGACCGCAAAAGAAATTTCACGACACTTTCCCATTATCTGTCCTTACCAAAGAAATCTTAGCCGCACGACCGATTACAGAATTTCATTATCTTTTCCTCATGGTCTTTCGCGAAAATTCAACCAGTCTGTTCAGCTTTGTTGACATCACACGACTCAAGCACAGACTGCCTATATATAGCCATTGCGTATAACGATGCATGCTTATCCACTGCGAGAGAGCATGTAGTACCCATAGAACCATATAACCCATAGAATCCATGTATTACCATTAGACGAACTTTGTTAATTACTGAAATTACAATCACCACAAGACGCGTCCATCTAAAAATTGCGCGTAGAGGAAAAAAATAAAATTTATCTTAAAAAAAAAACAACCAAAAGTCATACCTACAAATTCTAACCCCATAGCTACCCAGCCGTTTCATTCGGCACGAACAAGTGGAACGTCTATGAGAATTCCCATTACGTAAGTATCCGCGTAGCGAAGCGGCGCTCGTTCTTCCCGATACGTCATGCAAAGGTAAAATGAGGTGCGCCTGTACGACCTTCCATAACGAACAAACTGTATATATATATATATACATATTTCATTACAGTACAGTCACTGATCAAAAGAAGACGTTGCACAAACCGCGTGAAATAGTACTATGTTCGTTATTATTGTTATAGTACTTGCCACGTATTCGGACGTAACAATGCATACGTGCATACATATATATATTAAAAAAAAAAAAAAAAAAAAAACATGGCGGACATCGAGTACCACTACCGGATATTTTTAAGTGAAATTTCGGTGTAAACAGCGATCTTAAAATTGTCCCATTAAAATGCAACGTGTGCAGTGTAGAGACTTGGGGTTAACCAAAATGATTTTTACGTTGCCGTATATAGTAACTGCATAATCCGTTAGTTCGGCCATGACCTTAGCCGTAAAGTTAAAAGACGTATAGTAATGGCCGCGAGCGTTGAGGTACTCGTGGTCAACGTACAGTATAGCCAACCGATAGATAAGTAAACGCATCGTGGATTGAAACAAGGGTTAATTGTATCCGAGATAAAGAAGACGAGTGACGTAATAATAATTAATGACGACAATGCCAAAAGTTCAATGAGGGACGTCGGGGAATTTTTTTTTTTTTTTTCTAACGAAAATGAAAGATACGCGGACTCCGTGCTGGAGTCGTGTGTTATGCTAAATGAATAACGGTAGGTCGTTATAACATTGCGACAAGGAGAATCTCTATCCTAATAGCGAACAACTTCAGGTGCAAGAGGCGAGTTCGATAGCCTGGCAATAGGTGGAAGCACGGAGAGTTAGAGAAAAATATTCGAAGACGTTTCGAAACTTAGAGCAGCGCGAAGATGTGGAATTACGCGAATAGAATAGATGCACGTAAAAGGTAAGAATGGTGAAAAAAAAAATAAAAAATAAATTACAGCTAAGAAATTAATCGCGATTCGCTCATGGCGGACGGAAGGGGAATTGGTTTGGGAAATTAAATTTCTTTTTTGCGTTTCGACGCCTATGGACGCGGAGGATCGCGACCTCGTTTCTGGAGCTCTGGGAGTCGTAAAAGTGGGACAGCCGAATTCGCCGGAAACCGGTGGACCCCGGCCACGTATTAGTTTTTGCTCGTGAAAAAGAAGAAGGTACCAAAAGTGGAATCCACGCGGATTTTGGTAATCGATCGAATTTTTGAAATTTCATAATACGCCAATTTTCTTTTTCATGCATTTTTTCACGGTACGTGCGCAACGTGAATAACGGACCGATAATACCAGTGTATATATGTATAGACAGGATGGTTGGCTGTCTGACGAGACGGAATGTTCTGAAAATCTCAACATGGAAATGGGAACGAAATTATTTATTGGTGTTGTTCCTCCAGCCATCTTCTTGACGTTCGAGCCATAAACACTGACACGTGTTAACTATATTCCCTCGGACTTTTTATCACGTCCCGTCCTATGTTTACTCGCGCATTATAATTCATGTTTATCGCGATCTCAGTGCCGCGCACTTACCAGTGGAGTTTGGCATTAGCCATATATACCGAGATTTCGAAAATTTATAAAAAAAAAAAAATTGTGTACCATCAACGAGCACGAAAATAAATTTTGCCGAGAAACCTGCAATTTCACGTGATACGATGAAAATTTTTTTTCTCATCTATCATCCACCTCTCGATCTCGGTGATAAGAAGAAGCGTTATCAAGGTCAATGATCCAATGACGTCAGGAAAAATTACGCAACATTTAAAAAAAAAATCCATAAAACTCCCTATCGAGTAAAACCATCCAGACCCTGCAACAGTCTATAACAAGTATCCAAAATAGAGAATTCCCTTAATCTTATTAATAGCAAAAGCAGAAGATGACGTAGATGGTTCCGTTGCACTGCTATTATTGTGCCGTCGTTACGTACGGCCCCGTTTTACGCGTTCAGAACGTTCGCCATTGTCCCCAAGACCGTTTGCTGGCAGAACGTTAGAGGCGTTAAAAAAAAATTGTGAAAAAAATTCTCAAAAAATCACAGCAGTCCAAAAAAAAAGTACAAGTAAAAAAATTTTCATCTCAAAATCGACACTGCTGGAAATCCTAACGGGATAAAGAGATGCTTTCTCCATAGGTGGTAACGCGAGACGATTTGCTTGGAGAATGTCGGAGAGACATCGAGAGGAACGAAAAGAGGGAATCGGAATGTTGGCGCGGACTTCGGACATCAACCTCGAGAGCAGCCGACCCAGCCACTCGGCCAATCACACCGGCATAAATGGACCTCCTCGACCACCTATGACCACGCATGCTTCCATACGTTTCCCAATGCCCACTGGTCCAATGCCATCTGTGATACCTGAATGACGAACCCTGAAGGGGATACCAGTAGCTCGCAGCATCCAGAATAATCACCTGTTTGACTATACTAAACATTACACTCATGGACCAGTACATTGTATATCGTGGGTACAGACGGATCTCGCCTTGTTTACTTATTAAAAAAATCTGAAAAAATTAATCAAAACCAAATGGTTCAAATACACCAAAAACCGGTAACAAGTAGCGAGAGAGACAAATAACGATAAGACTGAAAAAAAATATTTAACATTCCTCGTCAATTTCTTATCACTCGTTACGACTCGTTAGCGATACCAAATCAGACGCGGTTAATCGATCGTTAATAATAACAATAACTATTTTGTGACCAATGATCCTTAACTGGATAAAAATAATTATTATATCCAGATGCGACTTCCTTTTTTTCATTGGAATAGAAATGAAATTGCTACAACCTTTTTTTTTTACTCGTTCAAATCTCTCTTCGGTTCAGTCTATGCCGTATGAAGGGACTATACCTATGTTCGTGGCGTACACGCCAATCGAGTATTTCCAAAAGCTGTACCAGTTGGTTAACTTTGCCAAGACAAAGTGATACTGGAACGCGTTACGAGTTGGAATATTATGTTACATATATATCTGTATGCGAAATATTTCTCTATACCATGGATATAGATTTTTATACTGTTGATAGGAGTACACACAGATAAGCCAGGTATCTAACGTAAGTGCCAGTTCTCATGAAGGCACTGGCTCTGCTGCTTCCAGGGAGTTGCCTTTAGGAATGTGCCACGACATGACAATGAGAACGTTGAGTGGGGTGTGTGCTTGTTACGTAGCGCCTTTGTGAATGACACTGGTGCCACATTACGTATGTAGGTAGGAGGGCATTGCGTTTACGCAGGACGTAAGCTGACTTTAGCCAATTGGTCCCCAATAAATAAAAATCAATTGGTATAATTGAACAAATAAATTGTATGAAATAAGAAAAATACCTGGCGCAGTTGGAATTTATATATTTCCATGTAAGGCTGTTAAGAACGCTGATCCGGAATACTTGAAGAAACCGATAAGAGAAGCAGGTACTTGAGTGGATAGTGATTATGAAAATGATTGCAGCCATAATCTGTATCTTAAGTGTGTATATAGAATAATAACAGTTGAACAGCTGTTTATCTTATATATTTTTGGGTCTCCCTCTCTGTATGTATATATATATATATATTTAATGAATTAATGTGTCACGTGATACCTTGAATAAATATACATTAAATTGGATATACTGGAACCATGTGGGTAATAGGTAGCTTCTGACACCCACTTGTATGTTGATCGTCGCGACGCCATATTAGGCTACGTGGAATCGCATAGTCGACGTCGTGACTGACGGCCAGATTGTATATGTATACTTCACGTGGCTCCTTTAATTTTCAGGACCGCTCCAACTACACGTAACATCCGGTATATTTGACAGCTGCCACGTCCGAGCTTCAAATCTTTGATAACCGACACCTACAATTTTCGAAATTAATTTTGACTTTTTTTTCGACAAAATTTTATCGACCAATCGTCATAACGTATAAATTCGTCGGTACAGTCCAACAGTCTGTCCTTTTTCCGAGAGCACCATACGTGACTCGTATGTGCTCACGCGTTCACTCCGTGACTCCAGAATGGACCTGAGTTATTACACCGTTGAGCGGATCAGTGCGAATTGCGCTATTGTCCAGAATATACTTATACGTGATCTTGTCCGGTGTGAATTTAACGATGGTTTAGATAACACAGGGGCGAGGCTGGCAATCAATCGTGTGGTACGTGACGTCACAGATCTGCGTATGACCTAATCGGATAATTCGAGATAACAAAAATATTAAATATTCAATTCCGAAATCTATTTTTTTTTTTTTTTTCGAAAATTTTACATACATGGAATTTGAGAATGGACCATATGGGTATATTCAAGCTAACTCGGGCACAACGAAAAATAGTGGTCGGACACACAGTGGTTATGACAATTGTCCTGAGTGGAAAAAAAAATAAAATTGATATCAGTGATACGAGGGCAGACTGATCTACCCCTCTCCCGCCGCCCCGTTCGTGTGACGAAGGCTAATTCAATTACCGTGCTCAAATTATGCTGTTATAAATAGTTAAAAAAAATGTAACAAATTGACATAGGACTGTTAGCAAGGACGTAGTATACGAACAAGCCAGACGTATCGGTATTCAGGTAGCAGCGAAAGACTTGAGATTTGAATTTCATAAGAGGAACGACGTGTCTGCATACGTTATGACGTAAACAAGCGAAGATCAGCCAGATACCGAAATTCAGTTTACGACGAAGTTAAGTTAGTAACGTCACTAACTGTGTATATACATTTAGGTCTGAAAATTTTCCAAGGTTCCTCCAAGGTAACGTTTCACGAGGCTACCAGCCGGTGGCTGGGTACGAGGATATGTTCACGCACGTGCTTATTTATTTTTCCGAGATTTACAGTTTTTTTTTTTTGCCAAATTTCCTTGAAACCTATATTTCTCAGTCATGATATACGCGACGTTGAGTGAACAGAGTATATTGTATATGCTATTACAGTAAAATCGGCATGTGCGCTGGTTAGCAATTTTTGAACGGTGAGAAAATTTTCATTGCCCTGTGATAGCATTGTGAATGCTGCGGATAGCGAATCGAGCCGCTGCTGCATTCTGTTGGAGCGAAGGCTAAGGTCAATGTAATTATCAAATTGCGCATCCATGGTTCGTCAAGGGAGAACAGGTTCTGCTAAGTAATAATAAAAGCTACGTACGCGAACCCGTATGTCACGTATGTAGTAAAGTACGCGCGTGATATATTTTGATGATCATATATAGAATAAAGGTTTTGATTTTTCGATCGGATGCAATTAATCTGAAGATAATATTGATTAAAGTGCACGTCATTATTGATACATGCATGCTGATATAACTATATAATTTATGTATCATATATATGCATATATGATTGAATAAGGAATTTCATCTAAAGATATAAAACGCATGTTCTTATCTGTACGATCAATGAATAACTTTGATAAAGTCCATAAGGGCAAGTAATAATTACGAAAAATTCGACTTTTATCCCTTTTTTGTCTTTATGCAATTTGAATGAAATTTCAAAAATTCACACTTGCCATGTGATAAATATATCTAGTGTCTCTACCGAGCAATTTATACGGACTCTGTATACGAGTAAAATTGTATTTGCAAAATGACACCACGTGTTTCCACGTTTCGTCCAATTTGTAACTTCCTCTTGAACACTCATGGGCTTACGTGTTGAGTTAGAAGAATTTTGGTGTTTCTCGAAGTTACGGTGACCCAGGGTCACGAAGCAGCTCCATCGAAAAAATCTTGATATAATAAACAGCTATTTCCAAAGTCCAGATCGAAGTAAGATCCATAAGCGTAAGTCAATCGATATGGTATCATTGATCGATATGTCAGTACCACTTTCATCATGTGATGTAAGAAGATTCTGATTGGCGCAAACAGCCGTCACAAGGACTCGGCGGAACGCTGGATGATGCCAAGAATAAACCGTCAACTTCCAAGACGACGGGACCAGCGAGAGATCCAAGAGATCTGGAGTGTTCGTTGAGAATTCTGAGAATAATTTATTATGAAAAGTTAAAATACGCCAAATACGTAAAATCACAATGGATGATAGCGCCATGCTTTCTTATCAATCCCCCAAGGTTTTTCCTTGACAAAATCTACTGGTACAAGACGAACGAGCAGTGTGTATTTTTACCACCATTTTTTTTTTTGATTAGTTTGATATTTAACCTCGGCGTGTATTTGAGTTTCTCCAATCTCGCGAGCCCGTGCTAATCCGCTCTTTCGACTTTGTATTAACTGCAACAGCGAGCACTGGTCCATACAGCCTCCCAAGTTAAGTACTAAATAGATATTAAGCCCAGTTCACACGTCATCGTCTGAAATCACTTTGGCAAAGTACCGTTCAAAATTGATTTACTATTGGCAAAATGGATAACTGAATTTTCGAAAATATTTCCAAAAATTCATTTTATCTCAATAATCGCGATTACGCGATAACAAATTTTTGCATTTCCAATGGACCAAACTGATCATACCTGTCAGAGATGACTGCGTATTAATTGCTCGTTAAGCTGCCAATCAATAATCAACAAGTTTGAGCTATCGTTAGGTACAATCAGCTATTGAGATACTTGAACTGATAAGGAATTTCTTATCAATCTTTTACGGGTACAGCGATCCAGCTTCTTCACACGTTCACGACATCGACTCATCGAATGCTATTTATCTAAGCTAGACCCAAGATTCTCGTTCACGTTCACAGGTTCACGGTGTGGCTCTCTACTGCTCAGGTTCGCTCGGAATAGACAGAAGGAACTGGGTCGTGACCTCCATTAAGACTCTTCTGGTATCACGTTCCTTATCAGTGACCAATACAGCATCCGTTCTTTTCTACGGATTATTGGTGGAGTATAATCGTAATCGTAAGATACACAGACAAATTTTACCAGCATCTTGAGTCTGTATTGAAAAAAAAAAAAAATTGACCCGCGAGATCAGCTACAGTGAATTTTATGAAAAAAACTAAAATTTCCAGCATATTTACTTATATTGACAAAAAAAGAAAAAAACCCGGTGAAATCAGCCTGAAACGTTTCTATCAACAGTGTTACCCTACTTGGGTGACTTTTCAATTTCCAAGTATTAGACTTTCTGAACGTGGTAAAAAAAATGACAAAATTTTTCAAATTTAAAAAAAAACTCGTCTCCGCGACAGATGAACAAATTTTATTTCGTATAATGCACTGCATTGGCAACCGAGATGATAAGGTGATGCAGTTGGGTCCCGAGGAAAGTGCATCGTGGATAGAGAATAGAATGCAGTACGAGTGCATTGTCGTATAATTAATTAAAATGCAGATCTACTAATGCGAGAGAGAGAGAGAGGGGGGGGGGGACTGTAAAGATCGAGTACGACAGGTGATCTCGACCTGAATTTCAAAATGTGTCCTACGCAATTCGCAGTTTAACTCGAGACAATGAGGTTCCATCTGCATTGGGGTTTGCAGCAGTACCAAACGGCTGCAACATGTGCATCGTCACTTCCTGCCATCAGTGCAGTCTGTATGCAACGGGTGTTCATGTGGTTCATATTTGGATCATCTTAGTATTACTCAATAAGACTGTCATTGTTGTCTATAGATCAGTACATTACGCGCGGCATAGATAGTGATCAAATTTGACAGCTGTCAAAAAATGAAAAATGCAATAGAAAAGCAAAGGAGTGAGAAAGGTACAAATATCTGTTGGTAAATGACTGGTTCGATCGGCTGATTAGAAAATAAAATAATTTTTGAAAATTTCTATATTTTTCATACATATGAATTCAACGATTTCAAAAATCGAATGCCAAAAAAATCTTGTTCATTGGACCTGATTGAGATGCTGTGAAAATCTGTAAGGGGACCGATTACAAGCGTTAATCGCAGATATCAAGCATTTTAAAATAAATAAACGGTATTATCAATCGCGAGACGAAGGTCGCACGTTGCAATAAGTATTGAAAAAAAATGTATGTATGATAAAAAAAATAGTCAATTTCTATTTCACGTTGTGCAAATATATTTTTCGGCAAACGGTATATGCACGATCCGTCTCCGATAAGTTCTCGAGATATTTAAGCGCAGCATCCCGAACAGTGAGAATATTCATCCAGGATTGAAAATCGAGTATAGCGTCCGTTCCCATTTGTAAAAAAAAGGTATAAATATTTCGTTCGTCATTCGGCAAGACGGCGCTCTCGATATCTCGGCAGAGTGAGATACAACCGAGAAAAAATATTTTCAAAGATTGAAAATCCAGAAGAAAATTAAAATAAAAAATTGACAGGCTGTTACAAAACCCACACAAAGTAGCACAAGTCGTCCGCATAACGCGAGAAACACGTATCAATTAAGAATCTAAAACGAGGGAGAACTTCGAGATCTTAGAAAGAGAGTTCTGCATTTGTCGTCAGCCGTTCTGTATTTATATACGTTAACCGAGTGAGCTGGACCAGGGCCAGCATCATCAAGATCCTGTCTCACTGTTTTACTTGCTTTGGGCCGAACGGTCAACCAAGAGAATTCGTTTCGCACCCCGAGACTCCAACCCGAATAAAAGGAGCGCAACGATGTCTACTCTTGGAAACTCCGGCGCCGGGAATAAAACCAGGAAACAAGTGTGGCAGACGTAATTAGAAGGGAAAAAAAAAAAAATTTTTTTTCCAAAAATCATTACTCCCAATAGCAAGAAAAAAATATATCGAGCACGAGTCAAAGTCCCAAAGACACGATGAATGATCTTCCAAAAAATAATTAGATTCGAGTTAATCACTTAGCTGATGACTCGGCAAATTCACTGGAGCGAGTGATCCGTTTAAAAATACGAAATACCAAAGATACCTCCATTTCGAATGACGTTTCTTTACGTAATAACGACTTTACTAATGTTTCATACGATCCTCGTGCAATTACGTTCCGCCGTCGTTAGCGCTTATGGAATTGCGTAATTGACTCAAAAATACTAATACAAAATTGACCAATGCTCCGTTTTGCATCTCGAGATGAAATTTTCTCATCGCGCCGAAATCGAGCCGAGAAGCTCGTAGATATATTTGCCGAGTCTTGCGGGGACGGCGACGGGCAGAAACGCCCGGGACTTCGGGACGAGAATAGTAACGGGTAGGCGAGGTGGAAGACGATAGAGAGTGGACACAGTAGTTTCGTCTACCAGAGTTTACTGGGGGTTTACTTGCTTCCGCCATGACACTTGGATGGTCCGTCGATCATTCGGATACACTGCCAATCGACAGAGCTTACAGAACACGAGTTAGCATTGTCAGCCAGTAGCCGCCGTGTAGAGTCAGGGTAAAAATAAAAAAAAATTTTCCAATAAAAATAAGAAATCCTAGTACGACCCCAGTCACCGATTTTTCAAGTTAAAAAAAATGAATTTTCAATACCTTTATCAAAAACGCATATAAATATTGTACAGTTATATAATAAATTCCAGCCGGTATAAAAGACTCCAAGATTTTCTTGTAACCCCTTTATAAATTCCAATGCGATGCCACAAGTATGGGTTAACTATTTTGCGGTGTCTGATAGGCACGGTACAGTTGATGGATTCTACGGTACAAGTATATCCACAAACTTTCTTCTGCTGGTAGTAATGATAATGGTGCACCTAGTACCTCCAGTAACAGTAGCAGTTGATACTTTTACGGCCGTCGCGTTTCATCGGACCATTTAACGACACGTACATAGACCAAGGACTTGAGATTTCTTCATACAAAGTTTCACGGAAAACTACCTGAAGTACAGTCGACAAGATATCAGAGTTGGTACACGGTGAAGAATGGTTGAGAAATTTTTATGAATTCGTCAAGGAGCCATTTTCTTTTTGTCCATAAATAAGTCAATGGATGATAACGTACGTGTCTGTTGGTTGTGCATCATACAGTTAGGATGCGAGAAGTAGCCCGGTCCGGCATTGCTATACGTAGACCGGTTCTACCGGATAAGTTTCTGTTGCCGACCGTCAGAACCAGCAACAAGCGATACAGGCATGGTAAATACAAAAAGGCAGACAAACAGAAACGCCTACGAATCTTTCCCAATAGTTTTCACGGGAAATTGCAGCGTGGCAAAGTATAGGAAAAAAATATTTTAAAAAATCGTCACCCACGCCAAGTATTATTTTTAATTTTTTACAGACGCTCAAGATAACGTAAAAACTTTGAAACGTCCATAAAGAAATTCGATATTTGAGGTTCAATGTCGTTATTAGATTTAATCAGATAACGAGAGGATAATCGATTTTGTTTCTATAGGATAATTACGAGGGAATTGATTATGCACTTTTTTTTCCATTTATAATTCGATTCGCTTCGCTTAACCTAACCTAACCCTATTTTTTACCCCTTTACGTCACTTCAAACAGTGTCCACACGTGCTCGTCGCAATTTTAATTGTAGGAAAGCCTGAGGCATCTACGTGCCGCCGTTATACATGGCGTTGCGACATGCTCTTTGGCAGCAATCAACGTCGAATGCCTTGAATGCGTCTCGGTTAAATGAACGATATGCGCAGAGACCGGTAAGCCGATAGAAAGGACCGGGCGATCGTTCGACCGATGTAACATTGGAATGCAGGCTGGGAAAGGGAGGAAAACAAAAAAGGAATCGAGTTACTGGAAAAGTTAGATTTCCTTACGGCACGGCATACAGTCACCCGAATAAAGACGAAATAATATCCCGAATGAAATTCCGCTTGTAGGTTAAGAGATTCTCACGAGCTGTAATCAGAATGGAAAGTAATCCGAGACCTTACGGCAGACGCTACAATCTTTAAGGGATTAAGGTATCGAATACTGTATACAGATAGAGTTAAGTGCCACCGGTACAACGCGTGTACTGTTATAAAAGTACTTCTTTGTTATGAAGCAAAATGCGCTCGCCATAACACCATGAATATGCATACTATGGTAATGTATATGCATGTGGTTGACAATTGCGGTAACGAGATGGAATTACAAATTTAAATGGTTGATTGAACGAAATCTAGATGCACTTGGTAGTTGCTGTTGTATCGATCAATCGTGGAATTCCGACCACGTGCCTTGTGTCGTCCGCTTGAGGACGAGATGCTGACAATGGGTGCCTTGTAAGGCTACCTGGTGGTATCAGCATACTGGTATTACTGTTACTGTTCGTATAGGAGTGCATGTAAAATTGCATTGCTGCACTAAGAGAGAATATGTACGAGAGTGTTATGGGTATAATAAATTGTAGATTCTTTGTGCGATGCTGTACGGAGCATTTATGAGTTTAATGGGAATTGGTGATTTTCAAGGGTGGAGGATAAAATTTTGAGTAGTGTCCGGTGAATGTGTCATAATTAATTAAAGTGTTTAAGGGTGATTAATGAAAAGTGGAGAAACTTATTGACGCTTGTACTAGGTTGCATAAGTAATTGTCGTTTTAATCGAAACTGGTAAATATCGTGCATATGTATTATGGGTATTATGTAAGTCTTACCGGATAAGTGACTCGGAACGAGAGGAACGTGTTTTACTGCGAAAACAATTGTTCATTTTTGTATTAATACGGGAAGAGTTTGAATTCTTTGAAATTTTGACATATAACCACCGGTTTTACGATCTTGATAGAAAGAAATCTTGAGGAACTGACCGAGGGTCTTTTGAGAATCCTGTCTGGGAAATGAGAGGATTATTCTTGACTTTTTGAAGAAATTCAAGAAATACAAGCCACAAGGGAAATTGCATTATACATATGTGTTAATACTTTGCGTAGAGTTGAGCTAACGAGATTGAGGAAAATGTCGCAGGTAATTCTGGAGCCTTGCCCGTGGAATGAGAAATTGAAATTACTCACCTTCTCTTTGGCGCGACCCGCGTGTTTTTGCACTGTCTTCGCAATCAACGCACCCTTACTCTCAGCCATTTTATCTCGCGTGTGCCGGAGCGTTATGCTGTTACTAAACACAAACTCGACTCGTCTCTGACCGGTCTGTATTCCACCAATAGCAGAGCAAGTGCACCGACGGAAGTGCGGATGAATACTGGAAATGCGGCAGAACTGTCTGTGGCCATCTTACTGAGTTTCCCAGGTCCGCCGCAAAGTGGCAGCACTGTCTTGTTCGAGAAGACACGATTAACCGTCAGCAAAACAGGGAATAAAAATGAATTTGAGGAAAAGAAATTAAATGTAAAAATACGTGGTATGAATTAAGGATGAGTTATAAAGGAGGAAATATAAGGGACGTGAAAGAAGTTTAATTGGAAGATTTGAATGGAGTCATCAGCAGGTTATTGATTTGCAAATGGTTTTATTAATAAATAATTCTTTCTTATTTTGTGATGAGGATTGCTCAAAATAAACAAACGTTATGATAAAAATCCACTTTAACAAAAAGAACAGACAGACAATACACGGATGTAATTTATCTGATAATACAAGGTGATGGACAAAGGTTTTTTTCTCTTAATTAAAACGGTCTATCCAAAATCACAATTGACAAAAGTGCTTGTGTCGCGGGGCGCGCGGAATTGTAATTACTACTTATAATTTACTTTTTTTTTTCAATACGATCCCTTCCGCGCGAGCCGCAATTACAAATTACAGATCGGAAATTTACAGATTTCAATCTGTACACGTAGTTCACTCATTGTACCTAATATAAATTTGCTTTTAAAATCTTGGAAAAATTGGATAAGGCCATAACCAATCTGGCGGCAAGGCTGTGCCAGGTCCTTCGTCTCTACAGTTTTTTTTATTTTCTTGACAATTTTTTCGTTTATAAAATCCAATCCTTCCTCTCTTCCTTTAACTTCTGTGTTGCTTCACTTATTTTCTTTCGTAATGTCGTGTCAGTCTGTCTGTCAACCGTCACAGTGCCGCCATTTCTCTTGTTTGTTGCATCGTTTGTTATCTTCTGTCTTTCTGCCACTTATTCTCGTCCACTGTTTTTCTTTGTTTTCAAGAAAATTCTTCAGTTCGTCCAAATCTAATCTATTTCGTATCCTTTTGTCATCTTCCTTCTCACTACCAGACATTCCGGACTTCAAGTATTACTTAAACGTGCGAATATTGGTTGTTGTTGTTCTTTAAATCATAGTAATCGCAATTTCGAAATTGATCGATAATAGTATATAATAATAATAATATAATAATAATGATCATTATTCATTATCTTCACGCGTTATACATCGCAAGATGTTGTCAGCGCATTGGCAATTTCGGAGACAGAAACTAATCGAAACTTTTTGCCTGGTGTGCGATTTTGATGTTATGTTTTGATTTCATGATACTCTTAGCTAAGAAAACTTGTGTTATTGGACTTTAATATATTTCTTCCTATTTTCTACAATTAAGTCGTATTACAGGTTTCTTTTTAAACTAATCTTCAGGGTGAAATAAACGATTAACCGCTAACAGCTAATCGCAATAATATCAAAATATAGTTACATTTTAAATGACTCGACAGTTACGAAAATTTAACGCCGTTGAACTATGAAATTTTCTTTATGTACAAACACGTTTGTATTAAATAATCAGAGTCGACGTTGAATGCAAAACTGATGTTTGTTTTTCGCTATTAAGTTCGCACCGAATTATTCGCAACATATAAATGCACAAATTATTCAATTACATAAATATACCTCTTGAAATTTTCACAAGTTCTGAAAAAACATGTTTACATTGAAATATATAAATTTTTTAATTCAGTAATGATGAGTAAAAAGGAAGTCAGACCAAATGACTTGTGTCAATCCCTCCGTCAATTATTATTGTTGCGGTACGTTATTGTTTATTTCAGGAATTTGTTGTTTTTAAATTTGTCAGGAGACACAGACAATTTATGCCCGTCTCAGTCGAACCAGACATTACATTGTGGATTTCAAACAGATCAACAGACGTGAAAAGATTCGTAATGTCTTCGTTTCTTTATTTTCTGTCCCAAAAATCACAGTGGCATAGTGCACCTCAATGTATGGTGTAAACCTGTACAAAAGTTGTTCCTCGTTTACTCTATACTTATTACTGGTACAATAATAATGTATTTAAAATGTAACTTATGTAACCTTAGTACTGATTAACGACGGCTGCATTCCAGCATGACCAGCCTTTGGCCGACTGGAGCTAACAGACAAATACGCTCCTTCGAGTGTAAAACCCCGCTATCTCCTTCTGAATCCTCATTATCATAGTCATCGTCATATCGTCACTGTCACTGTCCTTGTCATCACTGTCATTGTCGTCATAATCATCAGCATCATACTTGTCACCATCAATCTTCTAATATCCAAACCCTTTGCCCACTATGCAACACCTCTAATTCTCTAACTATATACTCTATATAAAATATCGTTAGTATAACTAAAACGTGTTGGGTCTAGCTGGAATGCGGCCCTATTTATGCCATCTTAATCCTTTCCGCTGTTTCATTCACATCTCTCTTCCTTGTATACTTAATTGTTTGTCATTCCACAGACAATTTCGCAGTCAATGATTTACTGATAAATTCACACCACTAACTGTAGTCTGTCATTGGTCGGTCAATTAGTTTGATTCCCAGCTGTTCACTTGGCGGCGCAATTGTTGTTATTATTTATACGAATTTTACACTCATTCAACAGCAGCAAAAAAACCTTCCTTTAAGGTTTTAGTTCCCCGAATCACCGCCGTCCTCGTGTTTTCTCTTCTTACCTCGGGTAGGAGACGTTTCTGCGCAATGTCCAAATGAAAATTCATTTAATAATCGATTAATCAAATATACCTTAAGTTACGTGAAATGGCATTATGTCACGTGAATCGTGTCGCAATCATTTTCCCATGTCGTATGTAAAGACAAAACAGTGCCAAGAAATGATACTGTTACTGTATAAATTGATTTTATGAAACAAAGAAAAATGGCAGACAATGGCTTACCTTCTTCTTCTTCTTGTTCATCATCATCATTAACGTCATCATCGTCCTCCTCCTCCTCCTCGCCCAAATAATCTTCCTCGCAACTGTCATCCTATAAAATCACAAAAATTTTGCTTTCATGTAATAATTGTTATATTTCACATAGGAAGAAAGAAACGTGACTTCTGACATGTCGAATTGGCAAACGTACCTCAAGATCTTCTTTGTATACAGTTTCTAAGCAAACGCCACAGTCATCTGCTTCGTCGTCGTCGTCATCTTCATCCGATGCTGCAATAATTTAAAAAATAAGTATACTCACATTTATATGACAAATAAACAAAGTTGCGAAACCAAATCGAGTCGTGAATGACAATTTAAAAAATTCTATAGATCTCATAACAGCCCAAACCTACCCTCTTCACTGTCGTCTTCATTAGCATCACCATCAACATCATCATTTCCATTGACTTCATCGTCTTCGCTGTCATCTACCTCGCAATCATCTATATCATATCTGTAATTAAGATATTATCTGTTACATAACACTTTTCTATTAAATATTAAAAACCACACTAGGGAATATAATGCAGATTTCTAAACGTACCCATCAAGATACCGTAGACTAGGAATAAGGCTGAATACTTTCTCTCTGTAATTATCAATACTCGTCGCTTCATTGTTGAAAAGGTCCAAACTCTTCAAGTTCTTGAATTGCTCCTAGAGTCAATAAATTATCATACGGATAAGTCATAAATCTTACGTTATTAATATCACAGTAAAAGATTAAACTTACCAATGGCTGTAGCGTGTCAAGGTCTTTTATTTTGTTTCCACTGAGGTTCAGATGAGTTAATTTAGGGCTCGTGTGGAGTATGTTCAATCCACCCGAAATTCGATTGTCGCTCAGTTCCAACTGTGTCGAAAGGAAAGGGAAAAATAAAAAACGATGCCTCACCCAATACGAAAATGAATATTACAACGTATTAATAAGCGGAGCTCGTACCTTTTTAAGGTTTGGTAATTTTGGAAAACCTTTCAGGCTGGTAAGGCCCACGTTGATAAGACTCAGCGTCTCTAGAGCAACAAATTCATCTGTCAAACCAACGATATTCGTACTCCGACAATTATCCAGCACAAATTCTGTGATCTGCAACAAAACAACGAATGCAACATTTACAATAGAGTCAATAATTTGTTTACAATAAGTAAACAAGAAAGTTATTACAATTAAAAAAAAATTGTTATCATACTGTTATGGATCTGACAAGATAGGAGATTATCACAACAAGGAAAAGGAATAACAGAAAATAACGTCAAGATATAAATGATGACCAAATAAATAAAGAAGAACTATGATGCAAGCGTGCATTGAAAGTCAGGAGTACAGTGATAAATCCAAAAAAAAAAACAATTAAGCTTTCTCAAAACTTCCGAAGCATCACAGACATAGAAAATAATCTCGTGATACGATGCACCTAAATGCAACTGCATCCACGTTACAATTCAAGGCCAAGAGTAAAGTCATTTTATTTATTAAACCATGTCGTATTCTTTCATGGCAAGGTCCGCTGTTAAAATTCAAACGAGCGATAAGCATTCGCGGTGGATGGGCTATTTTATTGATCGGAGAAAGAGAAAGGCTGTTGGATGGGCGGCAGGGTATATCAGGAGGAGAAAAGGAGACAGGAGAACATCTAGTGGGGTGTTGAGCAGGACTGGTGAGTGTTTAGTACAAGGGTGGGTAAGGCCGCATCGTATTTTGCGACACGAGGAAAGCCGATGAACGATGAACATCTAGCAAAGCGACATAAGCGAATTCCATGGGCTGTCGGCTTATTGGTCCCTCCACCTCACTCACAATCCAGTGCCGTATCCTCAGGAAGGCACAAGCCGTGTCGCAAGACGCGATGCTACACGCTGCGCCCCCTAATCTTAGATACTGTACGACATTCCGCACTTTGGATTGGTCGTGGCGTGCGTTGTGAGGCACAGGGTGAAAGTAGATATGAAAACTTATCACAGAAATCAGGGACGGCATCGATCGATCCCATCTGTGGGTCACCAGGGCCCCCTCTGTCCTTATGGCGAACGAATTTTTATAATCTCCAAATTAATATCGATCTTTCTTTGACAGAAATTTTATATTACTTAGGTAAAGTATTTGATATTGTCGTTTGCATATATATTTTTTTTCATACATTGGAAATGACCCTTATTCAAGCTAATATACTGCACCACTTTGAATTCAGTGTTCATTGTATGTAAAATTTTATCGCACCAGAAAGACTGTCGAGGCTAATCAATAGTAAAAGACAGAACGAGTTAAACTTTGTTGTTAATTACGCATGTTGATCGGTATAAGTTTAAAAAAAAAATTGTTTTTTTTTGCGGACCTAGGGCAATATGTTATCACGGCACTGGCCTCTCGAAGAACCACGAGTGCAAAACGCGAGGGACTAGCTAACGCCCACGCGGCACCATTTCAGGCGATTCTCTCTGCAAGTACGTCACTAGAAATTTCTTGGCATTTGACAGACAAGAAATGGATATCGATTCGTAGATTGTTATAAGAAATCAGAAGCCAAGGTATCCCGGTGCGTGTCTTTTGAGATTTTTAATTTCCGATGCCGTACGTGCCACTTGGTGGCATAGTGGACTCGTCCAAAGATGGCCGCGCCGTGCTTGACGACATGCCGATAAACACGACAACGTGGGGTTCAAGATTCCGAGACATTTACGATACTATTTCATACGAGGTAACGTTAGCACACGGTAGGGACTTTAGGCTCAGTCCGATAGTGCATCTTCATTAAAGACCAAGAGGATCGTGAATACGTTGACACGGAACAAATATGTCTGCCATCGCGCGCACCGGGTCACAATGGCGGCGTCCATTCACACGCGCACCTTGCCATGGCCATTACCTCATGGCGCATACACTTCCGATTCTGTTGACTGGCTGCACTCGAAATAAATTAAGGTAGTTGGGCAGCATATTCTAAGCTTAACCATATATTTTTTTCTACTTAATTGAACGAGTTCAGGCTCCTGCACTGTTGTATCAAATAAAAATATTTTTCTACCGACTAGTTTATGAGATATTAATTAATGAAACTAGCAAAAATTTAGGTAGTGGGGAAATAATGGCTGAATTTAATCGAAAATGTTTACTTAAAAGTAGAAGCTTGACCTAAGTATTAAAAAGTATCAGTGGCGAGTTTTTCATCTTAAGCGCTTACTGATAAAAATTGAACATTATTTTTAAGTTATAGAAAAATAACGTGTCGAAAGTAGTCATGTGGCGTGTGTGCTGTCTTTATTGGGAAGCTCTGTTTGTAAGACTTAGCTAGAGAAAAATATGGTGACGCAATACTAAGCGAAAAATTTTCAAATTTTAACACCACTTTCAAATTGTGTTTCACTAAAATATTTTTTTCACGAAATGTCCAAATTTCTATTTACAAAGATTATATATTTGATGCTGGTAACCACGCACTGTCAAAAGGTTAGATTCAACCACCAACCGTGCAAACGTATTTACAGATGGTACTAAATTCCAACTATCGGTACTAGTCAAACTGCCGTCTATATAATAAATGTCGAAAAGTATTGCTTGTATTGTCAAATTACTCTTGGAGACTATGATTACGTGTAAAATTATGAAAATTCATATTGAATAATATGATTTGCTATATTTTTATATTTATTTGTGAACTTAAAACAGTTTGTATATAAATGTTGATTTGACTTCGGCCCATCTCCGCCATACTACCTTAACATAAATCAGTGGACTCGTACAAAATGAGCTTATAAGATGGCGGATGAGACAGATATCTTGATATACTATTACATTCTATGACAAGTGTCGCGATCAAGGTTATGTGATAGGTTCGTAATGGCATTTTTTTAGGAAGAAGAAATGAACGACAGTAATAAACAATTGTAAGGGAATTTAGCTTCCTTTTGTCCTTCAATAATAATACCTTGAGAAATCTATAAGGGAGAGTTATCGTGATTGACCTTACGCGAAATGTCAGACGTAATTATCGAGTTTGTATTTTCATTTCGATAATGCAACTGCTCGTGATACAGATGTTTTTCATAATTTCGAATACAATGACGCCTATTAATTTCGATTGAATAATGATAATATCATAAGAAACTATACGAAATTTGCTGTACTTTTCTCTCAAAATGGCAACGTTGCTAATTGCATACTCTTATGTGAGATTTACGATGTCGATCGTGCGTCCTACTGCAGCTACACGTGAAGGCGGCATCTTGGTCGAGACAGAAAAATAGAGAAAAAAAATGACAATTGCAAAGGACACTTCGACAGTCAGAAAGTAACATGTTTAAAGAACCCAGTAAATTGTGGGAATTTTTCATTTGATAAGCGTCGCGCAATATTGTTGACAAAAAGGTTTTATCCCAACCTTGTCCCAATTAAGAAGAAATTCTAGTGTCGGAAAAATTATTATTAAACCAAAAGCACAGATTTTTTTCAGCATACGAGTCCTCTCGAGGTAATTAAATAACGATTATGCGGAAGATGAGGAAATGTGATTTAAAGGAAGCAATCGAGGCGTTTCATGTCAACGACTGGAGTCTGTTAACATATGTTTTCCCGGCACAGTTCAAAAAGGAACAAACAAAATTGCCCGATAAGATTTTAGAAATAATTTTTCATTGTCTCACAATGCTGTTATGCCGACCGTTTGCAGTATCCAAGGAATAATGCAAAGATAATAAAGAATAAAAGAAAAATGCAAGATAATAAAGGACAACGACACTTCTCCATCGAATTTTCATTAAACGCTTGACGAGTGACTGTTGTAGGTAAAGATAATCATAAAATGTACCTAGCGGTAATTTTAGAAGAAAAGAACAGTCTAGTAGCCTCTGGGAGAAGGTACGCCAGAGACCAAGCTACCAACGCCTTGCTGTGTGCTATGCCATGGTTGAGATACACATGGACCACTTTCACACCAACAGTTATACTTGAAAATATTAATGGGACCCAAGAGTAATGAGTAATATATATACATTTGAAGTGGGATAACAGAATTGCAGTTTCGTACAAGACTGGGAATTACCGAAGCTTCAGCAAGGAAAGATGTCAATTTTGTATGTATGCTAATTTTAATGTTTGGAGGACGCTGCAGTCTTGAGCCTTTCCATAGATTTCCTTCTCTGGATTCGATCGAATTTGCAAATGCAATCAAGACAGGTCGTACTAGGCTGGCTTGCTGGTTAGCTGGAGCGTTGGCCTTGCAACGTATGCACGTTCGAAAATAAATCCGATACGCGGAAATACTCCAAAACAAACGACATCACTCGATTATCGTTCGGTCGTGTAATTTTTTTTCACTTAATATTCATTGGCCTAGAAGTATAGAATTATTGGATATGATTTTGCGATTGGGAATAGGCATGATGTCTGAAAAACTGACCTGCGTTGGAAACTTTCCAAGATGTTGCACGATGTCACGATACGCTACGCCATGCCGCACCGCGCAACGCCACGCCGGGATTTTATTTAATTTGGAAAATTATTATGCGGCACGTTCGTGTTTCTTTGATGTACAATCAAATTTATCCTTTAGTAAACATGAGACGGAGACAATCATAATTTGGAGTTATGACGACGAGGCGTGACAAATACTGACATACCTGCTGTTATGAGTTCTCTCAAGCGTAAAAACGTGTTTCACTTTCAACTCCACTATGGCTTCCATGATTTTTCAAAAACAGGAGAAAGACCGACGAAGTCAGAAGTAAAAAAAATGGACGTCTTGCACACAATAAAAAGTTTAGATCCGGCAAACGTATCGATTGTCCCGAATAAACGTGGTAGAATACGAATGTGGAATCCAATGAGATTTATGTAAGGAGCTTTAATGGAGTTAAGAGGAAAACATTTCGGAGTAACAAAGGAATAAGACAAATTCGAAAAGAAAAAGAGTCAATGACTCCATATATAAAATAGAAATTCGTAGCTAGGCCACGCTAGTCCCTGTTGTAGCGACATTTCCTGTACTCCAATATCTGGAAGTATAACCAAGAGACAGAAAATCACTTGGAAACACCGAGCAGGACCAGTGTTCATACGAATCCTCATAAGAGTATCGTAAAAGTAAAGAAAAATATAAATGTGAATGTAAATGAAAATGGCAACAACGACAAACGGTAGTATCAGTGGCGGCGTCGTCGCCGAGGAGCCGTGGAGGTCCCCCAAGCGAGGAAGCACGCCATGCCTCTGGTGTCGTAGATGTCTATGTATCATCCTAATCAAGTACAAGAACTCGACACTGCAATGGATTTTCGATGGCCACGCGGTTCAACAGCCGGTAAAACTCCATGGTTTTCGGCGTTGTGTCTTTTGTACCGGGAGTGTGCGGCTATGAGTGCGTGGTTGTCGCGGTCCTCGGTGGGAACATACGAATGATGATGATACACGATTTAGTTGAGACACATTCGCCTGCGAACACCGCGGTGAACACACACCCGCGACCCGAGCAAAGCGTAATAAAATAAGTGGGGTTCGACTTACTTCGCCGGGGCTCCTTCCCCGCTTCTCAAGGTCTATCCGCTTCTCCATGGCCTCCAGATCCGTTTAAGACTCCTAACACCGATCACTGCACCTTCCTGCGTCGCAGCGACTAGTCGCAACCTTGCTTTCAAACCGGGAATATGACGGACGGACGGTCGGTCGGTCGCCAGTCGGACAGAGCCACCACCGTACCGAAGAGTCAACCCAACGGCGGTTCGATTCTGGCTTAGGCCCTACGCTCTACGCTCCACACCGAACTGGCGGGGCCCCCACACAATAACAACCCAAGAGGCGGGAAACGAAACACATGTCTGGCACTACTTTCGAAGCGACCAATCGGAGTACAGTGCTCCTTGCTCTTTTTAGATTTAACTGCCCTCTGGCGGATATCGTCGGGAAGTAAGACTGATGCGCCAAAGAGTGGCGTGAAGGAAAATTTCTTTGATGCTTGTTACGAAAAAGTCAAAAATTTAAGACATAAAATGATCGAGAAGGGTTTAGGGGATTAGGGTACATTTTTTACATATCTTTCTTGACATTTTCTTGGATATTCAATTATGGTTTCTTGTGCCAGATAATGATTGGTCGATGATCCTCCCGGCATGGAAGACACGAGGCTTCCGTTCTTCGATCTTGAGTTTGGCTTTTATTACGCGAAGCATATTTTTTACGTAATGCATCCTAAGCATGTCACTTGTAAGTAATACTAATGATGACTGACAACTTGACATCGGAACCCTGGAGATAACTTTCTGGTAATTGTGCTTTATACGATCGTGAGGCATATCGAGCGAAATATTTGGTATATGGAAATATTATGCCACTGTGGTATATAACCGTGCTTGCGCATTATGATTATGTAGAAATTTTATTTATATTTATATTAGAATTTCTACGGTTATTTTTCATGATTATCCTATTCGATTTTACGTATCTTCAAATTTGACGATTTCTTTATTTTTTTTAGTCATTTCATAATATTTTTATTTGAATAGTCTCGAATGTGGCGTTCGATGCCCTGACGAATGCTACGGCCCTGTTCAATACTAACGGCTATTGCAGCCAAGCTGTGCCCTCTTTCGACTTCACTAACCACCATATACTGTAACAGTCGTTGGCGACATGCGTCCGGCAATGAATTTAAATGGAATGTAAAAATAAATAATCTGAGATTCACAATCACTGAAGAGGACTTAAAAAAGTTACTCCAAGGATATCGACAGTCATCAATTTCTCGATAGAAGATTCTCATATATTGCAGAGTAACAATCGACATACCTCACCGCAAAATAGTCCCTGGAAGTGAATCGAAACTCGGTTTCCCGCGTGCGCAGCTACTTAAATGATGTCGCTGTTAATGCGTCATATGAGACTAGCTTTTATATACACGGAAGGTAATGTATTGTACTGTATTGTACACTCTCTTCCGGATTGTAAAAAAAATTCCAGCCATTTTATGTGAAGCATTGAACCAATCCGACAAATAAAGTTTTCTTCTTGTTCACAAAGCTAGAAATGAACAGCATGAAAGAAAATATATCTCGCAATGTTAGATTAGTTTTCATCAAATTGTAAAGTTCGAAGGTCATGTACATATATCTATGGTCTGAAATTGATTATATTAATAATTTTTCAATCGTTAAAACCAAATCTTGGACAGGTACGTTGAGTTTCTTGTAAAGATCAGAAGTGGATGTAATTCTGTGCCTGTCATGATGAGATAATTAATATTGTCTTAAAAACAATTTGTAAAGAGATGAATAAATCCGATAGGAGCAATCCCTCGGATGTACAGCTATGTTAATCAAATTATTGGTTTCAATTTATACACACAAATTCAATTGATATCTACGAATTTTCAGGAATGTTATACAACCAGTTTATGTAATCCCTGCTACAGTCTAAGGTACATTCTCTGAATCTATAGGTTCACTTTGATTAAATTGATTATTTGAAAACGTCTATTCAAAATGCTGTAACGTTGAACAATTATATTTCTGTGACATAGAGTATATTAAGTAATATGACTGATCATTCTGTTGTTAAGATTTTAGCACCTCATCTTTACTCCATGCCAGAATGATCCGCCCCTGGAGGTGTAGAATCCGTCAAGGGTTGAGATCAATATGCGCTCATTGATTGCACTATAGCTGCGCTGCGTCGACCCTGTGTCTCTTCCTCGCTTAGTTTTCTGTCTTTACACCGCGTTCCGCTAAACAGTAAACGGGAAGACTTGATGGTATCAATCTACTTGTATTTCTTACATAATTGCCTACATACTAATGCTTCGGGTAGACTGTGGACGAATGTACTGATAAGGTTCATTTTCTTAGACACTGTATTGACCTAGTAGCACAGAAATCTGATAGAGTTATTGATAAGAGAGAAACGACACGGTTAAATAGTAATTCTTTGTTATAGACTTCCAGTTTTCAAATACACGATAACTGTGTTTTTATGCATAATCAGTAGATATGATTTCAGTCTTGTAATATGTATGTACGATTTATATTTGTCGAACGAAATTTCTATGACATGTTTGTGACGTCTTATAATGATCAATGATATCGACGATAAGTAATATGTGGGAGAACATTTTTTAAAAGATAAAAGTGTCAAGGGTAATGATTTTTATTTGAGCATCTAAGGAGCATCGCGGCGGCTTCTTTATGCATCGATTGCACTTGCAATCCGTATCTTGACGTATGCAGGGCCGTATGTGTGTACGAGCAATCAAATTACTTCCTATAAATAGATCTTGCTCTCTTTCTTCACATCCTCCTCTGCCATCTTCAACTGCCTTACCACGGACATCATCGTTTTTCTCCTGCGCAGTGTCAAGTGCATACAATACACAAATTTCAATTCCTTCACAATGCAATTCTACTGTTCGATAAAATGTATTATCGACATTGTACTAATAATGAAGAACTTGAGTTACTAAAGAATTCTGATGGTACACACAAATTTGGAGCATTGTTGATCTTATTAAGCCTAAGTTTGTTAATAGAGACGCATTGGAGTAATACTGTAGTATAGTAATATAGTAGTAAATACTGAAAGAATTTATGTTGCAATCTGCATATTGAAAACGGTAGATTTTATAGAAATTTTTATTTAAAAAAATATAATATACATAAAACAGTTTTATATACTTATGATTAACATTTCTAACATTTTTTAATGTTTCTGTTAACCATTACAAGTACAGAAAAATTGCCGCTGCTTATTATGCGAGAATTGACTAAATTACTGATAGCAGTTTGTACAAGGTTTGCATATTAATGTTATCTATTGTAATGCGTTTCTGTAAAGACGTGAAATTACAGAAAAATAGTAGAACGTCTCACAGTACTGGATTTATTATTATGGCTTTTCTTTAATAAAGCACAAGTATCAAGCTGACAATGTGTAATGTACCATTGGGACATTGACATATTGAAAACATTTTACTTTCGTGGGATGCACAATTAAATGAGTTTAATTAAATCTAAAAGCAAGCTATGCTGCTCTTATTTATTATGCAACGGTATTGTACACATTCTAAAAATGTTTAAAGAGCTACGATTGTTCTCTTCAGATCTTGATAACTTAAAAGAAAAAACTAAATTTACATCAATCAACATCGAACTACAATGTGATAATAATTGATGCAGTTTAGATTGAAATCAAGAAACAATGAGAGCAACTGCATAATATTATTTTGAGGTAGTTAATTAAATTAGATGCCTGTTAAAACAAGGCTTTAATGCAATAAAGAAGAGAAAAGAATATAATGATATTCGCACCATAAGGTTTCACATTGATATTAGGATTTTTGAGATTTAAGCCATATTATGACAGTTGTGATTGAACTTGCTATTTCATTACCAGCTTATATAAGCCTATAAGGCATTGAATCTATTATTCCCGGTATAATATTAATATTTACATTAACTTATTCTCTAAAGCTAATAAAATACAATTTAGTCGAGATATCCACACGTACATGGATTCTAAGGACTGATCATGGTCCTATTGAAACTATAAAAATATTCTCTCCTAACGTACTGGCGCAAGGGAAATTCATGTAAATAAATATTATTTCAATTGTAAATTAAACCTCTTTTGCGCCGTTATCATCATTATGTATATGTATATACAGAAATAATATATATATAGAAAACAAGAACTGCTAGTACCTAGTGCAGGAACTTCCTAATGTATAATTCAACTATTATTGTGCTTAGATGTTCTTAATACTTGTTCATCCTCAATATATTATTGGCGTTCCAACAGAATTTCCCAGTTTCACCACGTAGAAAAGAAATTAGAAAAATAGTTTCAGGATAGAAAAGAAGAAACACAAAAAAATTAAATTCGTCCATAAAAAATTTCTGAACAAGTGTAAAGGACAAAGAGGTGTTTAGCACCTTTAGGATATACAGTAGACACAAAATTTCACTAATGAATATATAACACTTCAAATGTTTTGTTTCAACTATGGAATAGTTATGTATATTTTAAATATAGCAAGTAACAAGCTCATTTTGGACTCCCAAAAACGGAGTACATCTTCAATAAATTCAAATAGAAACGTGAATATTGAGCAGACAAGATATTTCACTGGAAGTAGTATGTGACATTGTTTTGTACAATTAATGAAATCGACATGGATTAGAATGGCTAGATAATTTTCCATTCATTCATTATAATCTAATACTACATAATCGTCGGAATACCGAGTTTAATTTGTGTCATCGTTTATTACCGACAATGGACGATTCCACTGTGGGTCCAGTTTCTGAAAGTAATCTTTTGCGACTACGTACTGTTTGAGGAGATGTTGTGCTGATTTGAATATGGCAGATGGTATTACTGTTTTCATTACTTGTACCACCAGTACTTATAGTCCTCTTAGTACTGCTTGGTGAGTCGGCGTTGCTCACAGAATTTTTTCTCTTAATGCCACCATTTGTTTCTTGCTTCACAGGAGCCACTGACGATCGTGTTTTTCGTGGCTGATAATCCGGCATTGCTTGCATTCTTTCTAATGCAGCACGTAACGGTAGCAAACCAACTGCGAACGGTATCTCTTTACTTGGTGAATATTCTGGAAGCTCTATACCAGTTTCACGATCTTCCAATATGTCAGACATGTCACCCCATAGTGCACGATTCACTGAAGCTATGGTATTTAATTTTGCAGGGACATAAGGGCGCACTTCTAGGTACTCCAATTTGTCAATTTTACTAGAACGTAATTTGCTGCTATTATTTCTTGATCTTTGATCGCTTTTGTTACTCTTGACCAGTGACAAACGAGACTTATTGGCATTTTTTTTCAATGATTTTGACGAGCTGCGTAACGTACGGGTATTGTGTGAATTTCTTTTATTGCTCTGTAATGAATTCATTGTATTTTCATCGGATATCCTTTGTTCCGATTCTTTAACTTTACGTTTTAGTTTGTTTAGCGTCTCTGTTGTGCTATTAGAATGATCTTTTCTTGTATCTGTATGCTTATCTCTTGATCGTTGAATGTCTGATGTTAAATCATTGTTATTGACCGAGTCATCAGTGTCCTGATTATTCAATCGAGTACTTCTTCGCAATGCAGGCACTGTTAATATATTTGTTTTACACACAACACCGTTTGAATTTTCAATGCTTAATATATGATTGTCCATGGAAAATAATTCGTTCATTTGTCGTATTTTTGTATTATTTTTTACGTGAGCTTTCTCCTTCTGACCATTCAGTTTGATACCTGAGTTATGTTCGCTAGTGTTGCCATTTTGGCAAATTGCATCTCTTATTGTACAACCCACTACGGTCTCTATGTTTTCAGTACTTAAGCTTAATATGTATTCCGTATTTTCCATATCTAGGGATGTTGAAAGTGTTATTGGCGTATCATTCTTCGATGACTCTTCTAGTAAGTCAATGCAATTGGCAGTGGGTAGTTCAGGCGTGGCACTATTAAAATGTGCCAAATTACTTCTGGATGAATCGGCTGACTTGCGTCTTTTATGTGTATAAACTTTCAGACCCTTTCCTAATTTGCTGGGAATATCTGTCAACTCGGATGCTTGTTGTGTGAAGGTTTCAATTTTTTTTTGATTACATGGCAACATTAACATGGGCGTTTGCTCAGTATTAAAAAAATCACAGCACTGTTCATACAGTATTGGTTCTAATTTGCTATCTCCATTGTATTTTATATCATTGTCGATATGTTCTATCGGGTTGTCTACACGATTATACATTTTTGACATTTGTTTTACTTTAAACTCTGAATTCTTTAAGGGTTTTTCGTTTCGTCTCAGTACAGGAGAACGTGGCACTGCAGATTTCATTGTTGTGCTAGTTTCTTTTTTTCTAGCTGTGCATGTTTCTTCGTACAGTGTATGTTCGACAAAGTCATTTTCTGTATCACAATTCGTAGTACTACTTTGTGGAGATTGATTTCCATCCGAATCGATATCACTGTTTCCATTGAACTCAAGTCCCAAATGGTTTTCACTACTTAACTTTCGATGAACTCTTACTTGAACACAATTATCTTCGTCACCGATATTAGTATCTTCATCGTCGTACGTGGCTTCCGAAAATTCGAGTACCTGAACAGCCTTCTGCAAAGAATCTCTGATGATCTTTGTATGCGATTTTTCAATAGCATTTTGAGAATCCATTATTGTTCCAGCAATACAAGCTAATTCCTTCACCTGTAATTAATTATAAAAGTTTATATAATGGATCATGTGTATAAAATAACCCATGCACAATGGTTACCTTAAATATTTTTGCTGCTTCCAATAATGATGGCAAGTGCTCTTGAGATATAGTGGTTTCTCCACAGTACATAAACTCAACCATAGCCTTCAGTATTTCAAAGTTTAAGTCACTGAGTAATATAATTGGCTCTTGACCCAGATCTTGTTCCAGCATTTCCTGTTTTTTTACATTGATACAAAACAACAATTTTAAGATATATAAAAATCTATCGACATAGCTAAAAGTTTATGTAACTCATTTCTTAAATAGAGATATTATCTTTAATTAGGTAATTATTTCAATAACTAATATACATACCTCAAAATAAAGGCTGCAGGAGGCAAGTACCAGCTTGTGAACACGTAATTTTTGTTCTTCGCATATAAGAGTTACATCAACTAAAGCTTGTCGAGCTAGAAGACCACTGAATCTTTCCGTAACATGTCCTGCATGGCCAGGCCAATGCAGAACATATTCCTCACCACCCTCGACCATCGCTATTCCTGTACACGACATAAAAATAGGTGAAAATCTTCAAGGCAAAATGAAGATATTGGTTTATAAGCACATTCAAACACCACAATACTTACCATTGAGAAAAAAGTAACTGGATGCGTTCAAGTTCCTCCGTTGTCAGAAAATCAGGATGAATCGTAGCACAATATGTGTTTTAAAACACAATGAAACGTATGTAAGTAAATTTCACATTGAACTCCAAAAGAGTACAGGGTGGTAATACTTAGTAAAAAAAAATGTCAAACACCATTCGAATCAAGAAACATTTATAAACTCGTCTACATCCCGAAGCGTCTATAGACGAAAATACGACTGGCAAACTCAAAATCTCGCCATCTTACCTCATAACATCTCAGAAACATCGACGCATACATCGCAAACAACGCAAGCATCTCGAAAGATCAGTGAAAAGCATGAAGTATTCGATACGGAGAAATGGGGGTCAATCTTTGAGACCAGAGACAGAGATCAGTAGGGAGATGCACAACGCTACGGTTTTAGGCGATACCAAAAACATCATCGCCTCCGTTGATAATGCATATCCCGTCGTAGCCGAGCTGAACGTGATCACGAACGGGTAGCCTGGCGGGCAGAGATTCTGCACAACTTACAAGTGATTCCCAAAGCAACCCTTAGAAAGAGGCCGCTTATCAGATATTGCCTAAATCTTTTTTTTTGTAATCTTAAATTCAAATGTACAGTGTAAGCTCGATAAGATTTACTAAGACAAAAGCCAGTACCTTATGCCTGCCTGCGTTAAGGAGTGCAGCGATGCGGTGCTAGCTTCCATCATTATTTAACAATAGTTCCAAGCGGAACTATGATCCCAACATTGAGTACTTGAGAGAAATATTTCGGAACTGTTTGAAGCACAATCTGAAAACAACACTGAAAGCCAGCACCTTATGCATACCTGCACTGAAGCGTTTGGTGCGACTAGTATCCTTAATAGGTATTTTCCCGATGTTACGTAGCAGAACTATTGTTCAAACCTACCAGGAACTATAGAACTCCTCGAGAACTATTGAATAAGCGTATTGTTGAAACATTTTTAAGAAATTTTAAAAAAGTGCGATGCTGGAGCTGACACCCGTGTAGCATCTTAATTTTGAACAATGTTTCAACAATAAGCTTTTTTAAGAGTTCTAGGAGAGTTCTATAGTTCCTGATAGGTTTTAACAATAGTTCTGCTACGCAATACCGTTAAAATACGTACTTTCCAAAAATTGAGGTGGTAGTCGTGGTCGATTTTTATTAGGGCCAGTGGGACGTTAATTAAGGTCATAGCAGTCTCCTGAGCTTATCCCTATCCTTATCTGTGTTTTCGTTATCAATTATTATTGTTCCCATAAATTCACTTTATTGCTTAACATTTATATAAAATACTTAGCGCAATACAATACACACAATTATCTTAGATGTGTTTATACGCTGGTACATGGGTAAGTGTTGTGCCGTGATTTTTCGATTCACGGTCACAAGGCGACTCCGGCTACCGATACAGATAACGTTTTCACTTTCTGGTTCCCTCCGAGTCACCACCCTGCTCAGAAGCTACGCTATCGGGTTGATTCGTATAGATATGCCAACGCTCTCGTAAGATTTCGTTAT